TTTGGTTGCAGAATCCATAAAGTCCTGCCTTCCCGCTGTGCCCAGCATGCCAACTGCGAATACCGGCGAAGATATTTGAGGGCCAATTGGGCCGCTACACCCGCATCCTCTGCACTGAGCCAGGCACCTGAGCGAAACAGCAAACGCACAAAACCATTCAGAGCTTTGCAAGCTTCCATAGCCAAGCTCATCACTTCATCATCCTCATCGAAACTTCCATCGAGTGTTTCGAACCACTCTAGCAACGTGGTCGTCAGGGCTGCTTTGTACCACCCTCCTGAAGGATAATCCGTTGTTGATGGCCATTGAATTAAATCTTTTGTAAGCTTGTGTGTAATCGGGGGGTGCGATGAAGCCTTGCAAAATGCCAAATATTTGTCGGTGAGCATGTTGAATCTTTCGTCGATGCCACGAGCGGGCTCCCGCTCGGACAGAATAGCCAAAGCCGACCCCAAAAAGTTCCGCCCCAGTCCCAGATGTATCGTATGAAAGACGTCGAAGGTGTAGTGCTCCGCCAAGCGGCCTGGCGTATGAGGCACAATGGCCATCGCAGGCGTGTCGTAGAAGGGATCTTGACGGCCCACCGTCGCCGCCCACCTTGGCCTCTTCGTACCAATCTCCTCGAAAGGATATGCATCTGGGCCTGCGCAGCACAAATGACACATCTCATTGGCCTCTTGCTGCTCCTTCTTGACCGCGTTCGCGAAAGTTTGGCAAAGCTTGCCACTCTTTGCCAGCCACGGCCAATCGCCAATCGTACGCAAAACGAACATATTAAACTTTCGACCCTCGCGATCCATCACACCAGTCGTACACATCTCCTTCGCCTGCTCTGCCGCTCCAGCCAACAGCGCATCGAAAATGCAATCGTCTTCACCATACTTGTTGCGCGGCAGCACACCAGCCAAAAAATGCGTAGTCAATGTATGGCCCAGCATATTTGTCTCATGCTTGATGTATGGCTTTTTGACAGCTTTTGTTTTTTTGGCAGCTCTTTGTGCTGGGTGCGAACCACGTCCCAGCATGGACTTGTAAGAGACGACCAAAAACGCTTGGCGGCGTCGGCCGCGTCCTTCGTCGCCATGAAGCACCATGGCGGCCGTCCTTGACAAAAGAAGCTCACCACGAGCCTCCATTTCGAACGCAACATGCGTTGGATCTATGGCTCTGTAGTTCTCCCACCAGGCTTGCCAAATCTTTTCCTCCCTAAGTCGGTCGGGCCGACGAAGCCCAGCGAGCTGGTGCCAGCAGTTTGACTTCAAAAGATATTTCACCCAGTCAGTTAAATGCAACATCGGCAGCTCGAAAGGTTTCCCTCTCACGGTCTCCGCTTCCACAGTGCGCTTTCTGATAGGTATCGGGAGGCTAAGTCCAAAATGGTCTACCAAGACCGCACGTGTGTCTCTTTCTGCATTGTGTTCTGAACACTGAGCTAGCTTCAAAAGGCCACCAACGCCCTGCGCCTGCTCCTTTCCCAGGTCCTCGACCACGTTCTTTGCGGATCTCACCGCAGACGCACAGCTGGCCTCGGCGAGCCATGCAAAACAATCGATTTCATAATTTGTTCGCTGGTTTGCTGCAGAACGAATGCAACACAGATCAGGTGCGACAAATCTTTTGCGAACACAGGCCTCTAGCGAAACTTTTGGCGCTCCCCCTAGCCCCTGGAGCACTGCAGTGAGACCCGGTACGTGTAGCCGGAGCCACATGAACACACATGATTGCAACTATAACACTCAATGCCTCCTATGAGGAGGATACTTGAAAGATCTGTACACGATATACGTCATATAATGGTCGTCGGATCCAGAACTTGGAACTCGTGTGGTCTCTCCACCAGCTTGCACATTTCTGCAGCCCTCTCTTCCTTGGGTTTGGGGAAAAAGAAGAAAAGAGAATCTCGCAACAGAAACAAAATAATAGGGAATCGACACCACAAAGAAAACCTTGCGACTGTCTGACGTGCGACCTAGATATTTTTGGATCAATGCGGCTTCGAGCATGGCAGGACTGAAAGGTTCTTTAGCAATGTATAGAATATCCATATTCGTCCATTTGTCGATACTGCGTGCATAGCCGTAAATATCATTGGCCCACCGCCAGGAAGCATCATGCGTCCAGCCGATCTTGAATATCAGCGGAGTATGCTGATCGAACAAACGAGTCAGCTCATCCAAGCAATGCTTCAAAACTTTACCGGCAAGCGAACCGAAAGGAGGGAGCTTGAAAGCTATGCAGCCGATACTTTCGCATCGCGAATGGATTTCAGAAAGTGTCTCTGATTCATCGAGGTAAACCTGAAGAACTGCTCTGGGATTCTGTCGTCGCAACGAAGAAGAAATGTATCGTGATGGTGGTGGCATTGGTCTTTTCAGGGCAACAGACTTCGAATTATCTGTCTGAAGATTGCTGCTGGTCGTAGCCGTGTCCGTGCTAGTAGTCGAAGTTGCCGAAGAATTGCTGGTCGACCATGGAAACGGAAATATGTTGTCCTAAGCTTGGTACTATACTTCGTGCACAAACTTATCCCTATATATAGTCAGCCTACTACAAAACAAATGTTGCAACGACCGAAGCTGAAGCTTGATGTTCAAGCATCATCACGGTGGCACGATAATAAATCCATGAGCTCTTCTTCGGGACTTTCACTTTCGGCAGAGGGGACCATTGCTTATGACAACTATAGACGATTTGGTGAGACTTCGAAGCCCATATTACAAAAGGCTTTCTAGTCAGCTTGCGACTTTGCAGCCAAGTCCTATATGCATCATGATGCTCTAGAAAGCTCAGCCCGAAAAGTACATACACCCACACACACCAAGCTTTTACACATCATGATATAATGAAGCTCTATATATATCTTATACAGATCTGAAACCCCAACCTTGTAAGACTTAAGACCCATAAACCTTGCAATCCTTTCAAGCTGCGACTCGACTCTTCCGAGCTCCAGTTCGTAAGACCCCTACAAAAATCCCAAAAGTAAACCCTGCTGTGAGCCACATCGAACAAGTTTTGCAACGCTCGTGGACCCCGAAGCCGCAAGCGCTTGAAGCCGAGCACTGAGCACCACACTCCTGCCCCAATGTCGTGGGATAGCCCTTTGACAAAGCTGCCGGCTGACCCACCTGGCCGAGAGACGCTTGTCTGTGGTTGTCAGGATATGTCAGGTTTGCATTTGCCGGGGCAACAAGATGATCGATACTGAGCATTGAGACGGAATCTTTTTTTGCGCACTGCCCCTCTAGCCGCTGTTCGGAACACGAGTAAGATTGGCGCTGCTGTGGCGGATCCACAGAGCAGATCATGCTAGCTTTCTAGCACTGCAAGACCCATGACAGCTCGAAGATGGATTATCCAGTGTATATATATGTCGGCTGCGAAAGGTTTGCTCCATAGCACTCGTAGTCCGGCAACGAACTGCCACTCAAGACATGGATTGAAGCTGCAGGTTCTGCCCGCAACCCTACCCAATGTCACCCGAAAAGAAAGCACTTCGGATCTAGCCGCGGTTTTTCTTGGACTTGGGCCCTTTGGTTCCCTCTTCTTTCGCCGCTGGAGCAGGCCTTTTCTTGGCCCCGGGCTTGCTCTTCTCAGTATCCGAAACATTCTTGTCAAAGTATTTTTTGGCATTCCTTCAAGGCAAGACTGGCTCTAACCTGTTTATTTTTTCGAAGATGAGTGTCAGGATTAGCCGAGCATCCTGATCTTCATCTCTGCAGCCGTGGCTCGGGCGCACCTGTTCGGGAACGACTGTGGGTTCTGGGGCCGGGTGGATTCAAGGTGTTCGGAGAGACGTTTTCGATAAGATTGAAATGCCGCCCAGCGGCACAAGTGTTGCTTCCTTGATGCGCTTCTCCGTCTGAGCATGGAACCTGAGGAGTTTAAGGACTTCATATTCGGGCTTATGTTAGATTTGTCCCCTCAAATCGTCAAACCTGAGAATCAAGATTGAAACCTGCAACCATAAACTTAAATTGAGCTAGGAAACTCGGGGGTTGGTTCAGATGCATCGCACTGGGCATAGGCCACATTGAGGTCATCGTAGTGCTTCTCGATCTCCATAATAGAAGACTCCAAAGTCTTCACAGACCTTAGTGGGGTTGGCTGGGATACAGGTTCTTACTTGGTCAACGGTTTTTTCTGGCACATTGAGCAGAGAAGCTTCTTGCAATCGTCATCTTGTGCGTACTTCTTTGAGAGGTCACGTACCAGGCTTCGTAGTTTACCACACTTGTCCATAGTCGATTCCAGCATCTTGTGCAAGGTGCTCTTCAACTGGGACAGGGATGATGTACTTCAGATGGTGTTGAATACAACTATACGACTGTAAGGATATATGTACCTGTCTGGGGGCGCGTTATCTTTATGTAGGTGGTAGGATGCACATGCCTGGTTGTTCTGGTGTTGCTTCGGGTCGATCTGTATGGCTGCCGTAGGCTTCTGTGCACGGCTCTGGTAGTCCTCCAACATTTTCTGGTCCGTGAGGCATCCGGGCACCGCGGGCATTTGCTCGACCTGTGCTTGGGGCAGCAAAAGGTTTAGGGGTTGTAGGGTTTAGAGGTTTTAGGGTTTCGGATTTGAGAAAATGGGAATTGGAGCAGGCCTTGCTTTCCTGCTTGTGCTCCTTCTCATGGCTGTGTTCCTGGGCCCTGACACCTGTCTCCCGCACCACGACCCAGTACTCCATCAGGCCGTCGTATCGGTTCTTCCTGTTGGCTATACATGATTGAGAAGTTTGCTATCGCGGCTAAGGAATCAAGGTAAAGGGTCTTTGGGAACGGAGGACTTCGGAAAACCCAAATAAACCTTGGAATCGTTTATCATATTGGATACAATCACATTGACTTAAGAGAAACAAACAGAAATCTCGATAACACCCCACCTGTAGAAGTTTGGCCCTGCGTCCAAACAAGTCTGGACTGCACCCTTGCGCTTCTTCCTTGGTTGCTGTTTTGCATGGGAGAGCGAATACAAATATCATGATTAGGAGATTTGCGCTATCTCATTCTGAGGGTCTCCGGCCAATGGAGGTCGTCCTCCATCTCTTGCTCACTGTACCAGCCCTCCTCAACCTTAAGCTTAATGGAAGTCTTGGTACGAACGACGACCTCCAAGCGGACCAAGAACTTGTCCTGCCAACGGAAAACATACTTGAGGACTTCACCTTTCGGGGGTGGGGTGTTCGAGATTTCGGGCTTATCTCCTGAACCCTTAAAGGCTTGGGCTTGCGTGTCGGCAGAAGGTTTAGATGATGAAAAGGTTCCTATAAAGCTTCCTTAGGGTATCTTAGGGTCGAAATCCTCAGGGGTGATAAGTGTTTCTTGTGGCGGGTTGTTCTTCCTATAGGCTGCTACGTTGGGTAGTTCGGTTAATATTAATCAAGGAAAAGGTATCCGGGGGCTTGAGTTTTGGATTGAGGTTTTTTTCGATCGCCTTGTCGAAGTTTTGCTCCTGGAGAACGGAGGCTATCTTCGTCTTGTCCCCGGTCGTCCATTCGTCTCGTACCCATTGTGGCACTTCAAGGTCATGGCGGCGGGATTTTGGTTTGCACATTCGGTCTATGCGGGCCTTCGCGGCCCGAATCAGCTTCTCCTTAGTGGAGTCAATCTCTGTTGCGAGAAGATCTATATGCGATCGTGTTTGCAGGATCATAAACGTATATATTTACAGATGTAGCACCTGCCGCGTTGGCTCTTTTCGCGTCTTGACCCCGGACCCATCACCAAGATCCACTGCACGATTTTTCGGAGGGGGGGTTACCAGTTCCTCATCGTCACTGGTCGCCTCATTCTTGATACCGGGGAAGACTTTGCCCAAAGAGTCCCGCAGCATCCGATGCAGCAATTGATCTGCCTCGGCTTCCTGGGCTTCAGTTCGGGCTGTGGGTTTTCTTGAGTGGACGGGCAAGTATAGTCGACTTTGCATACCGAAGGGCAATTTGCTCTGCATCATCGGAACGATCATCCTTATCCGAGTCGGGACGAGAGAGAGAGAGAGAGAGAGAGAGAGAGAGAGAGACAGAGAGACAGAGAGACAGAGAGACAGAGAGACAGAGAGAGCGAGAGAGAGAAAGAGATAGAGAGAGAGAGAGAGAGAGAAAACGAGAGAGACAGAGAGAAAGACAGAGCGAGAGAGAGAAACGACAGCAATTGGCATCCCCTTGAGTTGCCATAAACCACAAAGGCAAACATCATCTTGCAACGAGCGGCTTCTTCATCAGCCGAACTGATCACCCCATAATCATCATGTGCCACGGATTCCGGTGGCTCCTGTCCCAAGCCTGCTAGCTGTAGGTCAACAGCCGAAGCCTCAGATGTAAAGAAGAAACCCCATGAGTCTTATATGCACACTGCGCATGAACTCAGGACTTCACTGGAAGGGTTTCGGCTTCCATCAACGGTTCTGGAACCTTTGGCTCCTGAGCCGGCGGTACCATCTCATCGGGCTGGTCCATCGTCGCAGCCGAGTCGACAGGAGCAGAGACGGGCTCCATCACTTCCTGCCCAGTATAGGAATATATATGGAATAATGGATGAAACCTTGATTGCTCCCGAACAATCTCAGACCCGACCTGCTCTGATTCTCCAGCGTCTTCAGCAAGCAATTTTTCCAGCTCCTGCTACAGGTTTGTTATATACAGGGTTTACAAGATGTACTTATGGGTTTCAGGGCTTCTATATTTGCATACGGGGGAGGCAAGAGAGAGGTCCCCTAAACGGTGTTCCCACGTCTGTCCTCAAGTTCCTGCTGGCATGCACCAGCATCGAGAAGCTCCGAAGAATTGGACACATGGTCTAGCCCTTCGAATAGCGTTGCGCACGACCACAACTTCGAAACAGACGCAGGAACTGCCATGGCGATTGCCCGGCAAAAGCAAGGTAAAACACCGAAGAACTTGAGAGTTCACATGAAGAAACATATCAGCTGAGCAGCAGGTGTAAGTGCAGCATGACACAACACGTGTCCCGCAACACAAATCAGAACTTTCTTCTTTCCGATAGCACGCGACGCCAATAACAGCCCCTGGCTGTGGGACAAACCACAGACCTTTGAAATTAATTGCTGCGCAGAACCCTTCAAAAAGAGTTCGCAACGGCTCTAAAACGCTCTAGGTAAGACCCCGGGTTAACCCATGACCGCGTCATGGGTAAATCATGGGTCTGCCATGGGTAAATCACGGGTCCGTCACGCTTTGGGGTCAACCCGGGGTTCCACAGAAACCCGGGGTTTAGGGTGGTAGCATCACGGGTTGTCAGGGAGTAAACCCCGGGTTACCAGCGGGAAATCACGGGTAGGTCACGGGTAAACCCGGGTTCTTACTACCCTCCCTGGTCCAGACTCTTGCCAGGATAGGCCGAAACCGCTAAAAGCGCTAAAAAGCACCCACAATTGCTATTATTTAATTACAGTACCAATCCTTGGAAACCAGAGCCCGCGCAAGCAACAGGCAAAAGCCCCGAACCCGCATCAGTCTTCGGAAACCAGTGCGCGCATAAGCCCCACAGAGCCCGCATAAGACCCAAACCCGCACAAAGCTGTAATCATAAGCCCGCAGTAGCAATTGAAAGCAACTCCATTCCGAAAGCCAGCAAAGGAAGAGTTACAGTCGCGACAAGAACGATTATTTGCACAAGCGGGCTTATAGGGTTTCTGTGATATATAAGGGTCGGGCCTCCATAGCAAAACGCTGTCATCCCGAAACCTATAAGGTCAGAATCTGGAACCTTTAAGAAGATAATTCTATCTGTAGAGCCAAAGTGAAACCTTCAGTTGTTTCGACCTAAGGCAAATCGAGTCTCCGTGGAATAAAAGGTCGCCACAGTTCAGGAATCGTGAGACTTTTGCATCCCCGCAAGTATACAAAAACGGACGGAAGATCAGCTGTAGAGAATTCCCCACAGATACTTTCACCCCCGGCCATCCAAAACACTGTGTGCTGCCCTGGACTCACATCTCCCTCTGACACAGGACAGCCACGGCGATGCATCTTCAACTGCTCGGAGAGGCGCTCCATCTCGCGGGCAAAGGCGACGGGGTAGACCCTGGGATGGCAAAATTGGGAGTGTTACAGGCGGGTCTACTGGATTTAAGGGTTTAAGCTTTAGGGTTTTTAGGGCTTGTAACACTAACTGTATATATATTCGCATCGATCATTTTCTATTTACGTTTTCGTTGTTCAGTTTAACTTATATACTAATTATGCTACATCTCCCTTAACCCACTACACACAGAATTGCAACTATATATATATAGACCCCTTTAAGGAACCCTATATATAGACCCCTTTAAGGAACCCTATATATATATAAGGTCACGAGGTTATATAGGAGATGGTCACATAACCTTTCTGGGTAATCTTTGGACTGTCGGGGTTCGCTACTTCAAACTTGAATATATCATGTTTATTGTCAAAGGCAAGGAGCTGGGTCTGTCGGAGGTTCTTGTTGCCCCAGTACCTGACCCGGCCTTTCTGGTCCCTAGCCCTCTCGACGGTTTTAGTGGTACACATACCCTTGCGCATGGCCCACTTCAAGCGCCCTCGGTCCAGCAAGTAGGCCACTGTCGTGTTGGAGACAAGATAATGTCTCTTTGGAGTTTTGGACCCATAGTTGCCCATCCAGAAGCGGACAGTGGAAACCTTGGACTTATAGTCTTATCTATTTCGCAGAGGAAATAGCAGGATATACAGGACGTGCGACCCCGAAGCGGACCAAGTCCCAGTAAGCCCAACACTGCGTAGGGGCCGCCGACACCCCGAATAGCCAACATTAGAGACCGCCAGCATGGGTAGTACTCAAGGAAGCTACCAGCCGGTTGCTCCAATGTCCAACAGGCATCCATCGCGGTGCACAGCATCACCAGGAGAGTTGTCCTGACACACGCATCGCTCTGGGGCTTATAAGGATGGGAAACACATTCCTGCTGAGATATTGCAACACCAGTCCTCTCTAGCAGCTTGTTCGCATAAGCTACACTTTCATGCCCTGTGTAACCAATGGAGTTGCATGCCGAGCGTTTGGACGTTCCCATGTTCAGCACACAGAACGAGCTGCATTTGATGCCGAAGTGAACCAATGCCTTGTGGCATTTCAAGATAGAAAGGATTGCGAGCCTGGGCCGACCAGGAATGTCAATACGATTGCGGTTGTAAACAAATACTCAGTGCGCACGATAAACGAACTAAGCTAGAAGCGCAAAGCCAGCGTCAGTTTGCAGGTCCATAAAATTGGTGCCGGGTCGTTGTTCAGCATCCATAATATCGAAACGAACAGATCTGTGTCCAGCCGCTCTCATGACACGATGGATATTGCCAGCTCCAGCAAAGAACTCCACATAGGAATATTCCTATAGTGCTTCCCAAAAAGTAAGATCCACCAACTTTCACCCAGTACTCTAAGACCCCAATGCAAACTAAGAACGATCCTCTCCGAGTCGACGTTGACCCCTGTGTTAAGCCTTCCACCCCAAAACCTAGCCCAGAATCCGGTACCAGGAGGTTCTGATCCACGGACCACACGGCGAGGAGGCAGATCAGCACGAATGCCTGGTCAGGTTTGCAGGATGTTCTGAGTTTTCCGAAGTGTTGGCACAGGATCTCGTGGGGTCCTTATCTGATTGCATATCGAGCCTGCCTTCGGAGCTCCCAAGACTTTCAATCTCCAGCACAAAGTGTCCACATCAAGCATAGCTGCCGAGGCTGTGTGTAAGGCAGTGCAGATGCTTTTTGACAGAGCATGAACTGAGCTATTTATACATTCCTGTCCACAACAAATCTGCAGCGACCTCTGCAAACGGCTTCGATGAGTTGAGCAGCGCTGAATCACAAATGAACACACGATTCCCATACCCTGCACGTGTCAGCAGCACTCCACCAACGAAACATGCAGGCTCGTCGACTCTGCAGCCTCCGAACATGCCTCGCATGCCACTGGTATCCTTTCGGAAGAAGAGGCATCGCTGGTCGGGCCTGGGCAAGAACAGATGTTAGGGGTGTATATTAGGTTTAAGGTTCCGGTGTAATTTCGAGGATCGGTTTTGGGTTCGGCAGGCTCTTTCAAACAAAAGCAAGCGGTTCCGGGCTTCTGATTCCGTGTCCCCTCTCCTGTGTTAGTTTGGTGAAGAACATTCTTTGGGCCGGCAATACCTTAAAAGTTATAAGATTTGTGGAGCATACACAGGTTGAGGGTTTAGGGCTTATAGGGTTTATGTAGATTTTATCTTAGTGCACGACGGACCTGTTCACACTAACGCTCTTGTACCCTGGCACCGCTTGGGCTTTGTAGAGTTTAGGCCCCTCTTGGGTTTAGTGGGTTAAAGTCTCACACAAACTGTATATGTTGTATATACGTCTCAGGGTTTGTATTTTTTGTGCGAGCACTACATATACCCAAAGTCAAAGAACAAACTGACTCGAAACCCTTCGGCCCCGTTGTACCCTGATCCTACAACCCCCGTTGGACACCACTACAAAACCCAAATCCCAAATATATATATATATATATGTTGCCAGCCCGAACCCCACAAACATCTGATGTCATTTGCGCCGATGAGCTGCGATGGTCCTTCAATCTCAGGTTACCGAGATCGTCTGCCAAGCCAGAGCCGGCCACCTCAGAAATGAACCCAGGTTGCAACCCCGAGACTTTCGTAGCTCGATCTGTTTTAAAGGCAGGAGTTGCTTCCTGGGGTGACGAGGTTTTGTCGGGAGCATGCCCGTCTTGCGCTGTGACATATATAACACTGATCGAAGTAGCAGGGGTCTGGCAAGGATTGGAACATATTGGAACATTGTGTGTATAAGTACTGTATAAGCCACATAGCCTACGGAGTTTATGTTAGTTCTTGTAACCAGCACAATTCAAGAACAGGCCAAAACACCTACCTTGATCTCAGCAAAATGCGTGTTGCACCGGTCTAAAGCATCGGTGTGCCTACGATCGTAAACCCTGCACAAGCATCTCAGCCTGTGAACCCCACGATCAAATCTATACACACATCCGCTCGGCGGCGCGCCTAAGAGATCACAAGCGAGCAAAATCGATTACTCTGCCCGGGAAAGCGTCCGCAGCGCTTCAAGCAGCTGCTCCTTGATCACCGTGATGAATGAATCGGCCTCGACAGACTTTGTCACGATCCATTGGTTCGTGATGCTATCGGCGATCAAGCCATCCACAACGATGCTCACAAGCTCACCGGCTTTCATTGTCATAGCCATCTTGGCTGTCCATGCCGCATGTTTCGGCCCACCGGCAACACTGAGGTTCACAAGCTCCTTCTTGGACTCTTTCAAAAGGACGCCAGTGGAACACCTGGTCCAGTAATGCGTCAAGCTGCAAGCATCAGACTGCGCAAGCTCAGCTTTCATCCGAAGCTTCAGCGAATGGGATTGCTCCTCGCCACTGAACTTCTCAGCAAACTCGACCATGGCTGTATGGAGCTGCTCCACTGTGTCCATCGAAAGGTACTTCACAACGGCGTCATCGACAGAGATGCGGGCATACTCATCGTCGTCCAGCTCCATAGCACGCCTCGCGCGAGGCCCGGACTTGGCCTTGGCCTTGGCCTTGGCTTTGCTTTTCGCCTTTGGCGAAGCCGTAGCCTTCGCCTTTGCTTTCGCCTTTGCTGTGGCCTTTGCTGTGGCCTTTGCTTTGGCCTTTGCTTTGGCCTTCGCCTTCGGCCCAGCCTTGCGCTTTGGAGCCGCCTCGCGCTCCGACTCCGCTTCAGGAGCCGTGTCGCACGGCTCCTCCTCCTCCTCGTCCACCGGATCCGGGAACTTGGCCACCTCATACTCAAAGGCGCCAGTAGTGCTCTCTTCTGGCACTGGCCACATCTTCATCATCCGGCGCTTGCGCTTCGAAGGTGACACCATGACGCTCGGCTTACGTTTCAAGCCCTTCTTCCCACCTTTTTTCTTCATATTCTTACCCTTCTTCTTGCCCTTGGTCCTTGTGATGCCCTCCTCAACCTCCGGCGCCTCGTCATCGGGGATCTTGGATTCCGCTTCTGCCTCGTCGCATGTCACCTTGGCGGACTTGCCACCACCTTTGCCGCCACCTTTGCCTTTAGACTTCCTCTTCCTCTTCACACCGAGCTGGTCGCGCTTAGTGACCACAGGAAGTTGCCCCGCCTAGCCAAAGTTCGTGCATCAGCAAAGACCCGAAGCCTTATTAGACCCGAATTCGTGAACCCAATGAAAGGAAATTTTTGTACACCTTCAAGCCTCCTCGGAATCCGTGAACTCCTGCTGAGGATGATCGGTGGCAGCTGGCGGTTCTGCTGGCTCTGGAACGACGGCGGCTGCTGGTTCTGCTGGCTCTGGAACGACGGCGGCTGCTGCTTCTGCTGGCTCTGGAACGACGGTGGCTGCCGGTTCTGCTGGCTTTGGAACGATGGCGGCTGCTGGCTCTTCGTTCGCAAGGATTGCAGGATTTTCACCGGCTTCAGGGAATGCAATGTCCAGGATGTTACACGGCTGGGTCTCGTCCGAAGCGCCACCAAACGAAGTAAATGGGGACTCTGAATGCACGGGGCTTTCTCCTCCTCCTGCATATATGGCTTCAGATTTGAAAGATTCGCTATATAATAGTCCAAAAGAGTTTTATGTAGTCTTTAGATTCCGATTAGCATATTGATAGCAGAGAAAACTTTTGAATGATCGATCCCATAGGGATGGGGGGCTAAGTCAAATAAGCTTGAAACTTCAAGTTCTCAACAGAAGGTCCTGGCAAAGTCGAGGTTGTCCCGGCAGTGGATGTAGTCCTGGGCGCAATAAAATAAAAGGATTCAATGGAGAGGGCTCCCAACCAATATAGGTGAAAAATGTGGGTAAGAGTCGTTTGAAGCTTGGCTTTGAGGGCTGCAATCCTCGCTTGCAGTGCAGAGCGCTGTTCCAGTGACAAACGGCCTGGTCGGAATCAGGCGGCTCGAGTTTTTCTACGGTCAAGAGTTGGTTACATACAGGCTTAAGGAAGCAAGCTGATTCGATGAGGTTCCCAAGCCTGATGGACGACGTTGCAGTGCGTCGGCATTGGCAGCAGTCTTCGGCAGGACAGGCTCGAGATCCTGTTGAAAGATCAGGGGTTCGTGAGAATCAGATTAATTGAGAACCAGATCAATGGCTGCAGGTTTATTGATTCCATATACAGATCATCGTGCAAACCCTTCCAGACTTGCTGTATGTGATGCAAATATTTGTATATACGCACTTGCACAGCGAATGAACCGGGCCTTCGGCTCCAAAGCAGATTGTCGAATCAAAGCTGGCTTGGGAGTTTCCGGCTTTGGGGGCATCACAGCTTCTGTATCTGGCTTGGGAGCTTCGGGCTTTGGCATCGCAGCTCCCGGGCACTTGGGAGTGTTGGGCTCTGGCATCGCAGCTTCTCGGGGCTTGGGAGTTTCCGGCCTTGGCCTAGCAGCTTCGGTGGGCTTGCGAGTTTCCGCCTTTGGCGGCTTTGGCATTGCAGCTGTTGTCTCTCGCATGGGAGCTGGCTCGGAAGTTTTGGGCTTTGGCGTTGGCTCCGAAGCTTCTGTTGCCCTGGTTTCCTTTGGCTTGGGGGGCTCGATGGTTTCCGCTTTCGGGTCCGGGGTCTCGGTCTCGTCTTTATCCTCGCTGTCGTCATTGTCGTCGTAGTCATCCTCATCGGACTCCTGCCAATCGCAATCACTCAAGCTTGCCAGTGAAAGAGCCGGCTAGAAATATGTACAAACAAACGAGTTCTCTTGTTCATCAACCATCGAAGCCTTCAAACGACTAAGCCGAGCCTCCTCAGCATCATCCGATTTGGAAGCTGACATACAAGCCAAGCGCTTGGCGTTGTAGCTGTCCACCAGCTCCTGTGCCCGGATCGGGTATCATATAGATCGTTTATTGTATCTCCCAGTTAATACCTTATATACTTTAAAGGCTGACCCCAAGACCCCTATATATATTTCGGAACAAGAAAACATATGGCCTGCAAATCTGGATCCATAGCCAAGCAAAGCTCTTGGAAGCGCGTGTCCTGGGAGGTAGACTCAGACAGGAGACTTTAGCCAGGGTTTAGGGTTTATGTTAGATATATATGTCGATCGGTTTGTTAAATGTACAATGGCTACTGAATTGTCGATGCCGAAATGCTGCAGAAACTTCTTTGCGACGCACTTTGGCCTTGATGTGCGACATCAACTTGCGGATGTGGAAGCTATCCATGCTAACAGTCTCCTGAATTTCAGGACCAATTCTCTTGTTCATCCTCAGCAGGATTGTCTCTTCATGTCGGAGGTCGTATACCGAAGGAAGTTTCCTGTCCTGCTGCTGCATAGCGATGCAAAGAGGTAGTAGCAAGGAGTAGTTCTTCACACAAGCGTTGTTATCGCAATAAAGCCCTGTCTCCGGGGCCAAGACAGGGCCCCCCTCACGTAATTTGTTTCGGATCGCATCGCAACCGTCCCAGCTCACGTGCATGTCTTTGATATTCAGACCGGGCTCATAAGCTTCACCAGCAAACTCTGCCTTCTGCCCCTTTTTATTCCTTTTCCCAACCTTCCCCATTGCCACGTGACCCTACAATCACCGGGCTTGAACAGAAATCCTACACCGGGTTGGTTCAATCACACACAAAGCTCTGAGCTGTTGCTGTCATCTCTTTCTGGCAGGACAAATGCTGAGCTGCGGACCGCGTTGCGAGTCAGAGAGAAACATTCGCATGGCCGGCAGGTGTTTGGCCCTTTAACATCCTATACATCCTGTATTTCGATTGCCATTATGTGCTCTAAAGAAGCCATACTGTATAGCAAAGAGCCCCCGAAGGCAGGTCTCTCTTTACACCGCAAGCTCGGCACCCATTAACACATGAATTGTGGAACATCACGACTGATTGACTGATGGCTCGGCCTGGGCGATCCTGGGAGCTTTCGGCAGGAGTTGGATTGTTGGGATTCGGAGTCAAACTACTTGGGACAATTGAGAATGCCTAGCTTTAATCTATCCTTAATCCTTAATGTGATAAACCCGGGGTTCTACCCGAAGAACACGGGGTCGATCTTGATACATAGAATATACATCGGTTGTTAGAAATGAACCGACTTATTCTTCGGGTCTCGAGGGTTAAGGTATATCTATATCTATATCTATATCTATATCTATATCTATATATATCTATCTATATATATATATACATATGCCAAGTCTCTAAAGACTGCGAGCTTTTGCAAGAGGCGTGGCTTGTGGTTGGTGCGCCGTGGCAGGACAAGCGGGCGAGACCAGTGGCGGGGACTCTCAGCAATCAGGGAGGGACGTCCTGCATCGCATCGGCTGCAGACTGCAGCATGGCCATATCCTCGCACGCAGAGAGGCTAAAAGCCGGACTAAGAAATTCGTGTTCGAGCCTTAGGCCTTGGGCCGTACCTGCCGTTCTTCGGTTTCAACTGTGACCGCTTTGCAGTGTTCTAGAAACTGCGGTTGCTGTTCTGCCAGCCAACCAAAGCCAGTAGTTGTTCTTTTCCGTCAGCCTGGTTGTCATCCTCGGCTGTGTACTTTACATAGGAGCAGCATGGAGAAGCAGTTGCATAGCTGCCGGGATAAGGGGTGGCAGCACCAGTGCAAGTGACTTGTGGTCCGAGTGCCGCGGGATACCTGCCTCAGAGACTGGAGCACTGAGCACGCTTTTACAGCCCAAACCCTATTGCCCGCGTTTTAGTCTGGTCACTGAAGGCCTTGGAACGATGCAGACGAATAATGCATCAGACTGGAACATCGAACCGATTGAAACTGATGGGTAGTGATGAAATCGTGGGAAGCCAAAACTCTTTGTTGGCAGTACCAGTTAGTACCGGTACTCGTATTTTGAATCGGCAGCATCAAGATGATGATGGCGCCGGACGCCGTCGTGGACGAATGACAAAGAACGAACGAGAGCAGGAGCAAAACGAAACAGCGATATTGATTGCATGATCTGACTTTCATCGTGCGCCGATGTCGACTCTCGTCATCATGGCGATCACCACCATCATCATCGTCGTCATCGTCATCATCACCAGCATCCTCAGCCTCGTGATGTTGGACCCAGTATCACAAGACTCGCTGACTTCCAGCAGATGCCTTCGCCGGCGGCAGCCTCTGGAGCTCTTCGCTAGCCTCGAGGCAGGACGGGAATCACATTCTTTACTGCCACACTCTGCGGTGATTTCTTCTTGTGCGAATAGGAAAAGATGAAAAATGCATATACACGCATGTATGCAATACTGGGTGTGTTTAGGAATGGGTATGCAAACCCATCACATTCGGCTCGCAGAGGCAGTAAACTTCGGTTTGCCACGTGTGTGCGTGCGTGCGCGCGTGTGCGTGTGCGTGTGCGTGTGCATGTGCGTGTGCGTGTGCATGTGCGTGGGTGCGTGGGTGCGTGTGGGTGCGTGTGGGTGCGTGTGGGTGCGTGTGGGTGCGTGTGGGTGCGTGTGTGTGTGTGCGTGTGTGTGTGTGCGTGTGTGTGTGTGTGCGTGTGTGTGTGCGTGTGTGTGTGTGTGTGTGTGTGTGCGTGTGTGTGTGCGTGTGTGTGCGTGTGTGTGTGCGTGTGTGTGCGTGTGTGTGCGTGTGTGCGTGTGTGTGTGCGTGTGTGTGCGTGTGTGTGCGTGTGTGTGCGTGTGTGTGCGTGTGTGTGCGTGTGTGTGCGTGTGTGTGCGTGTGTGTGCGTGTGTGTGTGTGTGTGTCTCTGTGTCTCTGTGTGTGTGTGTGTTGAAATGTTTTGTATACAGACGTGGCTGTGTGTTTGTGTGTGTCTTTGTGTGCCTGTGCATATATAGCAGCAGGTACAAAAACCAGCATTAACATAATGTAATATCGTAGCATGCCCAGTGCCAACAACCCATGTTGATCTGTCGACATTGGCAGATGAGGCCGCTGCCAGTGTTGAGCTCAATGTGGGAATCTTCCTTCGAGCAAAGGACGGTCGGTTGGTGCAGGCGCAGTGCTGGGAATCGCGGTTATCAATGCCATACTGCCCCCTTCTAGCATCCTCAAGATACAATGACAGATTACTTGGTGCTGAGGATGCAGACGGTATTGCATCCCAATTTCGGCAGGGGATACCGGTTCAGAGGAGGTCGGACTATTCCTGGACCCAAGTTCTTCCTTCGAGGCTTCGGTGGATGAAGGTGGAATATTGTTGCAGCTTTGACTTTCCTTTTGGCAGTTACTTCTCCTCGGGAAAAAGCGATGAGAGGTCGTCTCGTACTCAATTCTGAGCTGGGCAGGCGGCCGCTAAGCTTGAGTTTAAGTGTCGGGTGTGCAAAAACGTTACAGGTCACCAATTCCCAAGACGTATTCTAGCGCGTCATGGGTTTCTCGGCTGTTGCCCTTCACCTACGACAGACGGACCATCGAGTTTTGGGGTTAAGGTTGCGCTCGCACACTCGCACAAGGCAAGCACGGACTCGAAGGGTCGGAGCTGAAGCTGCTTTAAGGTCTCACATACCTCCGGTTCCTGAGACCCAGGCAACTTGTCCAAAGTGTGAGTGCTCACCCACTCCTCCACTTGCTCGGCCTTTTTGGGCCGTTCAAGCTTTGCGCACACAGCGTGAAGATGTGTGAGTTGGCGGTTAACGTAACTTCGGATGTCAGATGGTTTAGGGGCAGCTCGGCTCTGAAAAAGGCCAAGGTTGCTCTGAGTGCTCGGGGTTTGGGCCTATGCATTGATTTGGTAGCAGGGCCTGTGGCCAAAATCACACAGCAGGCCCGTAAACATGTCGATCAGTCTTATATCTTGCTGAACGAAATTAAAGCTGGAATCAGCTAGAATCTAGAAGCTAGAATCAGCTCGAACCAGCAGCGTCAGAACCCAAAGAGTGCATGGGAGCATGCTGCTCCATCACTCCCTTCCTAGTACGGTGGCGGTGACTTCCCCCTGGCTCATGGCACGCGTCACTCCGTTGCAACTAAGATTGGCGTGCCATGTTCCGGGACGAGTTTGTGCTGTGCTTGCCACATCGTCGGTTGCAGGCTCTGCCGTAGCCTTCGGTGAGTCATTGGAATCGTGCGATGGCTCCCCGTGGGTTGCCACATTGTGGGGACCGCCAGCGCTCAACTGTCACAAGCACTGTTCCCGCAATGGTGGTTGTATCATATCACCAAGACTTTCGCAGCAACTACCGTCATCCTCGTCGCCAAGACTCGGGACTTGTGCAAGTCCTCTAAGGTTTAAGCAAAGACAATCATCCGAGCCGCAAGACCTCAAACCTGGGCCGTTCCGAGTCTCCGACCGGCACAGTTAGACGCGGAGAGCCGGCAAAGCCACCTATTCAATTGTTCTGGACGAGAGGGGGGTGGGCGAAGCGCTGCTTGGAAGTAGGCTTCCACTTGAAGCTTATCCTGAATCATGAAGGGGAATTCTCACGCTCCTTGTCAAGAGCGCCTTTTGTGGCTCCCGTATACCAAGCTAGACTGGCAACGTGCGTCTCTGGAAAAGGGCGTTGTCGAGTCGTAGAGTTTAGTCAGTCAAGGGCTTCTGCTTCATGGTTGCCCCGTGGTTAAGCCTAGATACTGAGTAAGCTCTAGCAGTAGTAATCAGGCAATAAGGTTCTCCTTTACTCTTCTTCTGCAGCCAAGCCTAAGGAGCAGGCAGCTTACACACAGCGGTCTACTTCTGACCTGGAACCTACGCAACACCGCCTGGGAACTAGCGCCCTCACTTCCTTGCACCTACCTGCCTTACCTGTCCTCTGGTATATGTATACGCAGACATGTACGTATGCATGTACGTGCGTATATGTGTATGTCTTTATCTACGGATTAAATTAAAGGGTCCTGTCACCGACCCCATCTTGGGCACGGGGCACGTGAGTATCTCTCTTCTTCTTCTCCCAGCCTTAGAGGGCGAGTTAAGCCTACTCTCCCTCGTTCTCTCTCTCGGCATGCGGATGCTGGCATCTGCTGCTGAGCACCGGGTCTGATTGGCAAAGAAGGTCAGAACGGGAGGGGGAAAGGAGACAATGGGAGGGGGAGAGCGACGAGCTTGAGCTCTGTAAACCGTTAATGCAAAGCCACGACCATCTGCCGACCAATTATTCTCGTTGCAAAACAAGATCTGATGGGGACACCTAGGCTCGTGCTTCCACGTGAATTTCTGTCAAAAGAGGAGCACTTGGGCAAAATAAACTGGGCCAATGCAAACCAAGTAAAAAACTTTTATTCCCGCATGATCTTTGTTCTCGGGTCCGCAGGATCGCAGCCGCACACTCACACGTGTCCATTATGTGGCACGACCCTCACGTAGTTCCTCGGCACAAGGCGTGGTTCTAAATCCTATATTGCCACGTCCATGTGGACGAACTGCGCCTGTAAACAGGTGCGAATCCGCACTCCATGAGAAAACGACACTGTGCAGAAGATACCGAGTGGCATGAATCGTTGCTACGGCGCTACGGCAAGAAGCTCTATGCAAAATGCCCATGAGGTGCTCGCCTTCTCCATCT